CTCTTTCCCTCTCTCTCTTTCACTGTCCATCTGTCTCCCACACACACTATATCATGTAAGTAAAGTATAAAAGATAGTGAATGGAGGGAGAGAAGTGAAAATAGGGGAACCTGTTTTCCCCCGTCATGATTTTAAGTCAGATCTCTTCACATCTCAGAAGAGTTCTGGATTATTTTAAGAGTAAGAATGTAGGGAGAAGCTGTGGATTGGGGTGAGATGCTCTGATGGTTCTACCCCCTGAGTGCCGCCCTTGCCCTGTGTGGTTTGCCCACGCTCCACTCTGAGTGATTCCCAGAGTTGGGAATGGGAATCACTCAGAGTGGAGCGCGGGCAATTTGATTTTCTGCTTCATTTATGAAGAGTGTTACACTTGTCTTCCTGACTTGGTCATTCTCCTTCAGACAGAGACTCTATTTTATATTTCTCTTATATGTGACACAGTGCAAAGAAAACTTATTTACTGTGTGTTAATCCCTTATTAAATCCTCATTACTAAGAGATTGAATTTGACAATTGTACTAGCAACAGTGAGCTAAGAAACATTTAGTTGGGATGAGCTAACCCACTTTGCTAGCTGTGTTTATTCACTAAAACTGGTTTTTAATTACTCCACCTAAATGGTATGGCTTATCATGGTTCATGAGATATTTTTTGATAGTCTCTAAGGATTTCTCTTTTTTAAGATTATTTATTTATTTGACGGAGAGAGAGCACAAGCAGGCTCCCTGCTCAGCAGGGAGCCCGATGCGGGGCTCGATCCCAGGACCCTGGGATCATGACCTGAGCCAGAAGGCAGATGCTTAACCGACTGAGCCACCCAGGCGCCCCATCTTTGAGGATTTCTTTCAAAGTTTTGATTCAATTCACTGTTTGCTGTAGTGAAAGTAAACACTCCTATACCTTAGCCATTTTAGAGTGGTTGGCCAAAATTCAGTGCATTCTGGATTTTTCTTGATTTGAGGTTTTTATCTTTGGGGAATGCAAAATTCTGTGTTATCAAATGCAAGTGTAATACTTTTCTTCATATGGGAAGATTTTATAAATAATCGATTTTGTCTTCTCCAGTTGGTCTATGAGAAACATGAAAATGTGACATAAAATTCATATATATACCTAACAACTTCATTGCAAAGCAGCCAAAGCGAAATGGCTGGGATAAAACTTGAATTTAACCTAAACTGGAAGAAGACAATAAACCATCCATGATGGCTGTCAAACCCATCCCACGGAGTCATTTTGCCGTAAACTTTATGTGATGCAGACATTTTATGAAACACTGATTTCATTTTTGTTTCTAACAAAAAGCAGTCGAGATAACTGAATGACTCAGTAATTTGCAAAAAACTTTAACATGCTAGGGAAGAGCTCTTCAGAGTGCAGGAAAGGAGGTGGACATTCTCAGAAGGGATTATGAAACGGGCCATATGACTGCTTCAGACGGACATGCCTTAACCATAAAATGGAATTGAAGTTAGCCATGTCACATACTCAATTTTGACTCCAAATTATTAGTAATAATCTTAAAATCTTAAAATCTTAAAAATGTTTAAAACTTAAAGTAACAGAAAAATATCACTTAAAAAGGTTTCAAAGAAATTAGTATAAACAGAAAAGTTCCTACATGCAATGCTGAAATTTAAGAAAATGATAAAATATAATTTTCTGAATATGACTACATGTCCTGTGATCTTTAAGATTAAACATCCTATAATCTTTTAGTGAAACATTCTTCAAGTGAAATATTTATAAAAACTATTAAAATTATACTATTAGACAAAATGAAAACTAATTAAATGCAACTTTGCAGATATTTTTGAATATTGTTAAAAAACTATGGTATCCATAAATGTATCCAGACTTTCAAAATACCTAAGATAAACAAGCTCTTAATAAATCTATGAGTTAGGGCACTGAATATCAGTAAATTATTTTATTTAGGGAATCTAGCACCAGTTAGTATATGATACACTAATGTATTTTAGTGCCTTTTTGACCATAGGACTTACTATACACATGAAATTCTCTTTTTAATAGGACTAGTGTATTATAAACACTACTTCATTTATTGAAAGCATTCAACTCAATGTGCAATACTTTATGCACCTGTTTCCACACTTGAATTTGCAAGACCTGGGGATCTTGTTCAAATATAGATCTGATTCATTAAATCTGGGGTGGGGCCCGGGATTCTGCATTTCTGATGAGCTCCCAGAGGATGGTAATCCTCCTTGTCGGGAGATGACATTCGGAGTAACAAGTTGTAAAGAATAGAAAATATCTAGGACAGAAATTCACAATGAATGTGTTTAGATTTCTCTGTTTTTATGGGCTTCAGTTCTTTAATTTGCTAATTTACTTTTGATGCCAGGAATATTTTATATCAATTTATAAAATTTTATTTAAGCATGTATTAAAATTAGTAATTTTGTTTCCTAACAACTCTTCTGAAGTGATAAATGTTAAGTATTATTTGATAACATTACTTTCCCTGTTGGAGAGGCTGATGCAGGAGTTCTGAGCTGTCATCTTTGCTCTGATACCCATTTAGCAATGTGACCTCAGGCTAGATATTCAGCTCCCTAGGCCTCAGTCTCCTCTTCTAGATCAGAGGTTTTCAAATATTTGCTTTCAGAAATCAGAGTTTGATTTAATGCAATCCCTATCAAAATACCATCAACTTTTTTTCAAGGAACTGGAACAAATAATCCTAAAATTTGTATGGAACCAGAAAAGACCCCGAATAGCCAGAGGAATGTTGAAAAAGAAAAGTAAAGCTGGTGGCATCACAATTCCGGACTTCAAGATCTAGTACAAAGCTGTCATCATCAAGACAGTATGGTACTGGCACAAAAACAGACACATAGATCAATGGAACAGAGTAGAGAGCCCAGACATGGACCCTCAACTCTATGGTCAACTAATCTTTGACAAAGCAGGAAAGAACATCCAATGGAAGAAAGACAGTCTCTTCAACAAATGGAGTTGGGAAAATTGGACAGCCACATGCAAAAGAATGAAACTGGACCATTTCTTTACACCACACACAAAAACAGACTCAAAATTGTTGAAAGACCTCAGTGTGAGACAGGAGTCCATCAAAATCCTTGAGGAGAACACAGCAGCAACCTCTTTGACCTCAGCAACAGCAACTTCTTCCTAGAAACTTTGCCAAAGGCAAGGGAAGCAAGGACAAAAATTAACTATTGGGACTTCATCAAGATAAACATCTTTTGCACAGCAAAGGAAACAGTCAACAAAACCAAAAGACAACCGACAGAATGGGAGAAGATATTTGCAAATGACAGATAAAGGACTAGTATCCAAAATCTATAAAGAACTTATCAGACTCAACACCCAAAGAACAAATGATCCAATCAAGAAATGGGCAGGAGACATGAACAGTCATTTTTCCAAAGAAGACATCCAAATAGCCAACAGACACATGAAAAAGTGCTCAACATTGCTCGGCATCAGGGAAATCCAAATCAAAACCTCAATGACATACCACCTCACACCAGTCAGAATGGCTAAGATTAACAAGTCAGGAAACAACAGATGTTGGCGAGGAGGCAGAGAAAGGGGAACCCTCCCACACTGTTGGTGGGAATGCAAGCTAGTGTAGCCACTCTGGAAAATAGTATGGAGGTTCCTCAAAAAGTTGAAGATAGAGATACCGTATGATCCAGCAATTGCACTACTGGACATTTACCCCAAAGATACAAATGTAGGGATCCAAAGGGCACGTGCACCCCAATGTTTATAGCAGCAATGTCCACGATAGCCAAACCATGGAAAGAGCCTAGAAGGCCATCAAGAGATGAATGGATAAAGAAGAAGTGGTGTGTGTGTGTGTGTATATATATATATATACACACACACATATATACACAGTGGAATATTATGCAACTATCAAAAAAATGAATACCTGGATGGAACTAGAGGGTATTATGCTAAGCGGAATAAGTCAATCAGAGAAAGACAATTAACATATGATCTCACTGATATGAGGAATTTGAGAAACAAGACAGAGGATCATAGGGGAAGGGAGGGAAAAATGAAACAAGATGAAACCAGAGAGGGAGACAAACCACAAGAGACTCTTAATCTCAGGAGACAAACAGAGGGTTGCTGGAGTGGAGGGGTGTGGGAGGGATGGGGTGGCTGGGTGATGGACATTGGGGAGGGTATGTGCTATGGTGAGTGCTATGAATTGTGTAAGACTGATGAATCACAGACCTGTACCCATGAAACAAATAATATATGTTAATTAAAAAAAAATCAGTTTGTTCTTCAAATGACCACTAGTGAAACTGGGCTGGGAGTCTGCACCCACTAGAAGTACAGCCATCTTATAATAATTTGACTAGCATCAGCACATGAATGCTAATAACCATCCATAGAGAAACACTGTTCTGTCAGTTTTGTTGGTTTTGTTTTTATTAGTTTTAAGCTTTTAATTGGTTCTGAAGGTACTTTTTTGGAAGTATGGTGTTCTTTTTCTAATGGAAATTTTTTTTTTTTTTAAAGAAATCAATTGAACTCCTTCCCCAACTTTGTCTTCTATCTTTTTTTTTAAGGTTTTATTTATTTATTTGAGAGAGACTGAGAGAGAGAGATCATGAGAGGGGGGAGGGTCAGAGGGAGAAGCAGACTCCCTGCTGAGCAGGGAGCCTGATGCAGGCCTCGATCCCAGAATTCCAGGATCATGACCTGAGCCGAAGGCAGTCGCTTAACCATCTGAGCCATGGAAATGTGAGGCATTTTTGTATACAAGTTTTGCACATCTCCACACTGGCATTAGCTATGCACTGTCTCTAGAGTGAACTTGCTAAGCATTTAATTGTTATGAGTCATGAGTCATAGTCATAGGGGTATGGGGTGTCTATAAGCCTAAAACCAAATACAAAATATTTTTTTTTTAAATTTGGTTGTGTAAAACCTTGGTTTCAAAGATTTGTTTTTATACAAATAATGAAATAACCAGTGTTTTCTCTTTTTAGAATCAAGTCACTTAGAACAACAACTTGAGGAAGCCAACTCTGTGAGGAGAGAGCTAGATGATGCTTTTCGACAAATCAAGGCTTATGAAAAACAAATCAAAACACTACAACAAGAAAGGGAAGAATTAAACAAGGTAAAAATATATGGATAGATTTTTAAAGCTGCTTTTGGATTTTTCACCTTGTTTGATTTGTATACTGAAGCTTTCCTAGTGAATTACAATAACCTAATGTATATTTTGTCTGTAAAATGTTGGTTTAAAAATTTAAGAATTATTTTGGTGTATGTCATTTGATTAATAGCTAGTAATGAAGAAATTTTTATATTCTCAAGATTTTAAAGTTCAGAATCATTTGTTCTTTTGAAAAGTTAATAACCAAAGGACTTGATTAAAAGTAAATGTTATTGAAAAATATGAAAAAGAATAAGCAAATAGTCATATTTAGTATCTAGGGAAAAATTAAAAATGACATTTTCATTGTGATTTGCTGATATGAACATTCTTAAAAGATTATAATAAAAAATTTTTTTTAGTGTTTTAATTATTTTTTAAAATGTCAGTTTATCTTTTAAAGCATGGATGAACAAGCTAAAGTTATTTTCATAAGAACTTTTTGTAACACTCAAACAGTGTTTGTGAATATCAACAAAATTTATTAATAGCAAAGACACTCTAACACATCCAGTAGGGCAAATAATATTCAAGCACCAGAGAAGAATACTTTAAACCACTCAGTGTATGTGCTTTGCCTTTCATAAACAAGTAAAAAAATGTTGGAATTAATACTAGCCAACACAATAAAGAAATGAGTGGCTTATGGCATAGTATAAATTGTATTCAGTGATATAGTATATAATTGATAATGTAATGAATTTCCTTTGGGGGAAGATTTTAAAGTCTTGCTGCCAGTAAAGAAATGGAGGCAATTAAAAATAGAACAAATAACCTTTTGCTGAGGAAGCTAATCAGAAAGACTAACAGAAAAACTATATAAGGGTTAAATTGAATTAGATTAGTATATTTTTACTTTTTTCTTAATGCAATTACAAGCAATGTGGTGTACAGACCCATTTAAATTTATGGCCAATCTAATAATTCGAATTTATAACATGTTCTATTTTTTTAGTAATATTATAGTAATATTGGTAATTATTTATTAAATGTAGGATTATTCAGCCAAACTTAGTAAACATAAGAAGGATGAGAATCTGATATCTAGATTATATTATAGTACCATATATTTTGGCAATTTTAATAAGTTTTAATATTAAAAATCCTTTTAGTATATTTTGAGAAGGTAGTGCTATAAGGAAGCATTATGTTGATAAAAAATTTTAAGTGATTTGCTTAATATCCTACAGGCAGCAGATACTCCTTTTAAGATATTTTTCATTTGATACATTTAAAAGAATAAATATAACATTATATAAGTTTTGATGCAAATAATATAATGCACACCTCTGAACCTACCATCTAACTTAAGAAATAGAACATCACCAATTTTGTGGCATAGCCCTGGCCAGTCTTTTTTTTTTTTTTTAATCCCTTTCTCCCTACTTCCCTGAAAATGGTAATCACTGTTCTAAATTTTATGTCAATCATTTCCTTATTGAAAAAATTTTTATTACATATTAGTATATCTCTAAACAATATATCATATATAATAAAATAAATGTATGTGATGACAGATGGTAGCTACATTTCTCATGGTGAGCACTGAGTAATGGATAGAATTGTCGAATTACTATGTTTACACCTGAAACTACTGTAACATTGTATGTTAATTATACTCAATAAAAATAAATACAAATGCCAGTGCCAAATACTGAAGATGAGATTATAATTTGATATATTATTTTTGGAAAGCTAATTTGCAATAAGTATCCAAAGCCTTAAAATACTGAAATACTTGATATAGTGAACTCCATTTGTCAAAATTTAAGAAGATAACCAGTTGTTCAAACAAAGATTTGCTCACCGAGAAATTTCTCACCACATTTATAAAAGAAAAATATTAGAAAAAACTGAAATGCCCAACCAATTCATATGATGGAATAGTGTGGCTTGGTGGCTAAAGAATTTTTAATGCCATTAGGAAATTAAAAATATATATATATGTGTTGCTTTTTTCCAAGCCTTATAAAATGGTATATGCAATTTTTTGCAGTTTGTTTTTTTCACTCATTATATTTCTAAGATTCATCTATATAGCTATAAAGCATTCATTTAGTTGCGTATAGTATACCATTACGTGAATGCTCCGGAATTTACTTATTCCATTTTTTGTGTATAGACATTAAGGTTGCTTATACTTGGCAACTACTGTAAATGAAGATTCTTAAATGTATATGCTGATATGCACACACTTGCATATACAAACACGAGTAGAATAATTGGGTCATAAGTAATGAAGATAGTCTATTTTTTATGATAATGCCAAATCATTTTCTGCTGATTATACCTATTTATACTTTCACTCCCACCACGTAGTATTTATTCAACAATACTTCGTATTACTAGCTATATTATTTTGGCCAACCTAGTTGAAATTGATATTTTAGTTCTAGAATTGTGTTTTGTTAATAAGGTCTTAACTTCTCTAATTACTGAGGTTGAGTATCTTATGTATGCTCATTTATCATTTATATTTCTTCTTTTGTGAAATGCCTCTCAGTATCCTTTGTATATTTTTCTGTTGAGATGTTTGTCTTTTTCTTATTGGTTGGTTAAGAATTCTTGAAAATTTCTATATTAATCTTGTCAGTTGTGTGTTACAGATATCTCCCAGTTAGTGGCTTGTTTTTTCACTTTCTTTATGGAAGTTCTTAGTTTTAGTGTAGTCAAGTCTTTCAGTCTTTCTTTTTAAAGTTTTGCTGGCTTGTGTAAGAAATCTGAGGTTAAAAATTCTCAGTTTTTTTTTAAAGTGTTCTGTTTTTATTTTGAAGTTTTAAAGTTTGTTCTTTCGGGCGCCTGGGTGGCTCAGTCATTAAGCGTCTGCCTTCGGCTCAGGTCATGATCCCAGGGTCCTGGGATCGAGTCCCACATCGGGCTCCCTGCTCAGCGGGAAGCCTGCTTCTCCCTCTCCCACTGCCCCTGCTTGTGTTCCCTCTCTCGCTGTGTGTTTCTGTCAAGTAAATAAAATCTTTGAAAAAAAAAATAAATAAATAAAGTTTGTTCTTTCATCTTTAAATTTTTAATACACCAGAAATTTATTTTTTCATATCATGTGAGATAAGGATCCAATTTCAGTTTTTCCTGTGTATCTAACCAGTTGTTCATTTACTAAATAGCCCCTCTTTTCCACAGTGATGTGCAAGTTAACCTCTGTCATATATTACATTTCCATTTATGAATGAGTCTGCATCTCATTCCTTAAAAACTGTGATGAGATTTTGATTAAAATCGCATTAAATCTGTAGAGTAATTTGAGGAGAATTGACATCATTACAGTATTGAATCTTTAAGTTCTTACTATCTTACTAAGTTCTTACTTAAGTTCTTACTGTGTTTATTAATATTATTCCAAATGCACACACAGATTTCAAGAGCAGAACGTAGTATTGTGATGTACGTAGAGCAGAAATAACCACATCCCTCCTCTGTGTGCTAATTCTTACCTCTGGTAGCAATGCAATGAGAGCTGGATAGACAAAACCCTACATATATGGAGTCTATGTTGTGAATGTGAGGAACCCCAAAAAAGTGAGTCAGGGTGTTTATATAAAGGAGAGTGGTGGATGCTTCCTACTTCCCCCCTCATCTCCACCTACCCTTCTGAGAGTCTCCTTGGAAGTGTAAAGAGAAGGATCTAGGACTCTTTGAAATATAAATAAATCACTTCAGTGGAAAGATAAGCCCAGAGTCTCAGGCTCTATAAAGAGGATCGCTCCCTGATCCAGGCTCCTCTCTCTCTCCCCACTCCTGTTGAAGTATAAGCACATACATCCAGGAGCTAAATCTCTTTGGAGTTTCTCACACTAAATTAGTCAGAAATTACAAGGCTTGCTTTTTAGCCCAGGTCCCAAGTTTCAGTAAAACTTGTTTACAAAGGCCTATCTGTAGAAAAACATAAAAATATTTTATCTAGAGCCCCACAGTCTTTCTATCCACAAACATGGTGTATCTCTCCATATCTTTTTTTTTTAAAGATTTTATTTATTTATTTGAGAGAGAATGAGAGATAGAGAGCACGAGAGGGAAGAGGGTCAGAGGGAGAAGCAGACTCCCTGCTGAGCAGGGAGCCCGATGTGGGACTCAATCCTGGGACTCCAGGATCATGACCTGAGCCGAAGGCAGTCACTTAACCAACTGAGCCACCCAGGCGCCCTCTCTCCATATCTTTAACATCTTTAAAATGTTTTTTCATGTAATTTTATGCATGTCTTATTTGCCTTTAAATTTATTCTATTTTTTCATATTTTAAATGGTATCTTTAAAATTATATTTTCTTACTAATTTCGTTCCAGTAACATTGCTAAATTTTTATTAATTGTACTAATATATTTGAGATTCTTTATGGTTCTCTGCAAATAATGACAGTTTTGTTTCTTCTTTTGGTTTTTATGACCTTTCTTTCTTTCCTTGTCTCACTGTATTAGCTAGAACCCACATTACAATGTTGAATAGAACTCGTGATAGCAGGCTTCCCTGTCTTATTCCTGATTTCAAAGAAAATGCCTTTACTGTTTCACCACTAATAATGTTTTCTGTGAGTTTTTGGTAATACTTTTTATCAGGTTAAGAAAGTTATCTTCTATTCCTATTTTGTAATCATTTTTATCAAGAATGGGTATTGGACTTATTAAATGTGCTTTTCTGTACACTATTGCAACCAATTTCTAGGAATTTGTTAATATCTATTGATGTAATTAAATGATTGTTCTTTAATAACTTGGTTTGGTAAATTACATTGACACTTTTTCTAATGTTAAACCATTTTTGCATTTCTGGGTTAAACCTAAATTGCATGGGTATTATCTCCTAAATAATAATATGCCAGTATATATAACACTTATGTAATAGCACTGTAATTGGAGTGCTTTGCATATATCAGATCATTTAATCTTTATAAGAGCCTTGTGATTTAGGTATTATTATGATGATGATTATGATTGTTCTCATTTTATAAATGGTGAGACCAAGCACAGAGAGGTCAAATACACTTGCTCAAGTTCATAGAGCTAGAAAGTGGTGGATCTGGATTTTCAACACAAGGAGTCTATCCAGAGTTAATGCTTATCTATGTCACTGGAGTTGATTTCCTAATGTCTTTTTTTGTTGTTGGATTTTTTGTTTTCATCAATATGATTGGCTTGTGATTTTTTTTCTATTCTGGTGTTTTTGTGATATCAAGGTTATACAGGTCTTATAGAAAGAGTTGGGTAGCATTGCCTCTTTTTCTCTTTGTAAAAGTTTGTATAGGAGGAATGTTTATTCCTTGAAACCCTGGAAGAATCACTTGTGAAACCATCTGAGTTTGGAAATTCTCACTGAGGGGATGGGGAAAGTTTGTTGACTATTGATTTAGGTACTTTAATTATTATAGGGCTATTTAGGCATTCTATTTCTTTGTGAAACAGTTTTGATAAATTGTATTTTTGTAGGAATTCGTTCATTTCAGAAGCTAACAAATTTATTGGCATAAAGTTTTCATTATATTTTCATTAGCTTTTTTGATTTCTTCCAGATTTGTAGTTATAACTTCGTTTCTTAATATTATTTCTTTTTGCATTTATTATTCTCTCCTTGTTTGATCTCACCTGATGTTTGCCTGTTTTATTCTCTCAAAGAACCATCTTTTGCCTTTGTTGATGTTTATTATCCCAACATTTCTCTTTTTTAGTTTATGTCCTGATTTTTATTATCTTCTCATGTTGGCAGAAGCATTAATAGGTTCTGTCTCTTTTTATGTGGAATTTCATTGAATTTAAACCGTTTTTTAAGTTTCAATGCAAGTATTTCAAGCTATAAATCTCCCCTTAAGTAAACCTTTTACTGCATCCTCGAGTTTTAATATATCTACTAAACATTTTTATTGTTTTTTGTTATTTTCACTTTGTTTTTAGTTCTAAATATTTTAACATTCTTTATGACTTTTCTCCTTGACCAGTGAGTTATTATGGAATTTAGCCTTTTTTACCTTTGATTTCTATTTTAATAGTGATGATTTTAAAGAACTTGATCTTTAATATCTGTTCTTTGAAATTTGCTGAGACTTGTTTCATAGCCTAGACAGACTGTTAACATTTTTTATTTTTTACTTATTTTTATTATTACTTTTTTAAGATTTCATTTTTAAGTAATCTCTACACCCAGCGTGGGACTTGAACTTACAACCCTGAGATCAGGAGTCACACACTCTACCAACTGAACCAGCCAGGCACCAACAATTTTTAAATGTTCACTATGTGCTTGAGAAGAATAGGGTGCAATATTGGGTGCAAGCTTCTACATATGAAGCTTGATGATCTTCTCTATATTCACTATTTTTTAACTGTTTGTTTTATCTATTAATGATTGTCAGATTGAAATTTCTCATTATGGTCATGTGTTTACCAATTTTTCTATGATGTTCTTGACAATTTCTTCATAATTTATTTTGAGTCTGTGTTGTGGAATGCATAAAAGTTTAGAATAGCATTTCTTTCTAGTGTTGAATTTTATCATTGTGTAGGACATTCTCTATCCTTAATAATAATGCTTTTTCTATTAACGTCTAGATGTTATTTTTTTAATTTGGTATAACAAATTTGGCCCTTTTATATTAATTTTGAGTACTAATGTGTATAGACATGTTTCTACCAAGTTACTTTCTGCTTTGTGTTTGTCATGCTTTTTCTGTGCCTATCTTTGTTTCCTTTCTTGCCTTTTTAATATTGTGGTAAAATACATATAATATAAAATATTTCCTAACCATTTTTAAAATGTACAGTTCAATAGTGTAAAGTACATTCACATTGTTGTGCAATGAATCTCCAGCGTTTTTTCATCTTGCAAAATTTTTTCTTGTATTTTAATTGAAGTGGGGTTTTTTTGTTTTTCTTCCCACTTTACTCACTACTTGTTTTAACAGTTTCTAGTAGCTGCTCTTGAGTTTTATCATGCATAGTTAACAAAGTCTGAATTTAATATCTGAAACCATACCTCCCAAATCTTTAACTCTGTTATGTCTTCCCAGCATTGGTGGTGTTTTTTACTAATGTTTTACTTATATCCTTTTTGTTTACTGTCCAGATGAAACATTTTTTATAATGCAGTCTCATTCACTTGTTTGTTTAACATTCACATTTATGTTTACTAGTTTCCTAGTCCTCCATTTCTCTGTCATTATACTTTGCTTTTAAAATTATTTTTCTTTTTCCTGAAGTAAATCTTCAGAGGTTCTTATTTAGTGGAGATCTGATTGTGATAAGCTCTGTCAGTTTTTGTTTATATGAATCTAATTATTTAGCCTCCTACTTGAAAAGGAATTTTTCTGGGTATACAGTTTTAATTACTTTCATATCTCATTAGAAACATTTCCCCCATTTCTGTTGTTACTTCTTAGTCTATCTTTTTTTGTTTTTGTTTTTGAGGGTGGAAAATAAGTGATTTGTCTTTTTTCACTGATTTCTTTTAAGGATATTTATTTTTATTTGGTGCTACACAATTTTATTTTTTAAAAGTTTCTGGATTTGAGCTTTAACATTTTTTCTTGATTCATAAATGTGGAGCTTACTGCATTGATGAATTCAGGTCTTTAATTTTAACACTTATATTTTTACATTTCTAAATGTTCTACACAGTTGTTTTATAAATCTGGCTGGTCATTTTTAATAGTCTTTTGTCATTTTCCCATTAAATTGATTTCTTTTTACTTCCTCACGTTTCATACACACAAATTTTATGTTAATATTTTATAATTCTAATGTCCAAATACCATTGGAGTTTGTTTTTATTGTTTCTGTTCTTTCCTTATGGTTGTTTGTTCTTTGGGTGTTTGGGAATCTGTGGTAGTGAGCTCATATTACCTTGCTCATAAAAATCCTACATTTCATTGAGGCTCTTTACTCAAAAATGGTTTGCATTTCCTTTTGCCAGAAAGCAGACTTGAGTGCTTTAACTCCCTCTAAGTTTCACACTTTGATCCGGGAGTTTATTTAGCTTTCTCTCCTTGCTTCTGGCCTAAGGCTTAGTCTCCACATAAGAGCATTCCTTGTTTTTTTTATCACTTGTAATGATTCAGTATAATTTTTTAAAATCTCACAAATATCCATTCCATTTCACAAATCTTTATTTTTTTTATTGTTTTATTATGGTATGTTAATCACCATACATTACATCATTAGTTTTTGATGTAGTGTTCCATGATTCATTGTTTGCAAATAACACCCAGTGCTCCATTCAATACGTGCCCTCTATAATACCCATCACTAGGCTGACCCATCCCCCACCCACCTCCCCTCTAGAACCCTCAGTTTGTTTCTCAGAGTCCATAGTCTCTCATGGTTCATCTCCCCCTCCGATTTCCCCCCCTTCATTTTTCCCCTCCTGCTATCTTTTTTTTCTTTTTTTTTTTTTTTAACATATAATGTATTGTTTGTTGCAGAGGTACAGGTCTGTGATTCAACAGTCCTACACAGTTCACAGCGCTCACCATAGCACATGCCCTTTATTTTGGCCATCATATGTGGTGTTCCTGTACTCTTTATTTACTTGTAGAATCTAAGGTACTGGCAGATTAAATCGGCTGTTCATCACAGTTAGCATGTTAGCATCAGGAATAGAGACTAATAACAGAGAACCCTGCTATTAATATCTGTTCAGAAGTAGTTGCCTTCTTTTAATTTTGTCCTCAGATGAGTAATTTTGGCTCTTCTTGACTTCATGATAGCTACTTTGATGGCCAAAATTGGTCCCTAGGTTGCAGAATTGGTAACTTTATTCTTTTTACAAAACTGTAGGAACTAGTCCAGGCTAGTGAGCGATTAAAAAACCAGTCCAAAGAGCTGAAAGACGCACACTGTCAGAGGAAACTGGCCATGCAGGAATTCATGGAGATCAATGAGCGGCTAACAGAATTGCACACCCAAAAACAGAAACTTGCTCGCCATGTCCGAGATAAGGAAGAAGAGGTGGACCTGGTGATGCAAAAAGTTGAAAGCTTAAGGCAAGAACTGCGCAGAACAGAGAGAGCCAAAAAAGAGGTTAGTAGTCAGGGAGATTTTCTAGTGCCCATGGGGTAGTGATTAAAGCTGCTTTTTCAGATTAGTGGAATAATGTATATCTCCTCCTTTAATTGTTGAAAACCTTTTTTTTTTTAAGTTTGGTTATTTTATTAAATACGAATTTCAACATTTGAGTTATCTTCTTATAAGGTAAATTCCCATGGGGAAAAGCATTTTATTGGAAAAACAATTACAACCATGACATCTGCTCTTTTAATTTTATTTTAAAGCTGGAAGTTCATACAGAAGCTATGGCTGCTGAAGCATCTAAAGACAGGAAACTGCGTGAACAGAGCGAGCACTATTCTAAGCAACTGGAAAATGAATTGGAGGGACTAAAGGTAGCGTCTGATTTCACATTTGTGAAGTTGAATTAATTTTCTTCTCTTTAGGCTTAACAGGAGTGTTAATTTATGTACTCTCTTTGACGTGGAGTAAAAACTAGCTATCCTTCAAACCTAGTATTCTTAATTCTCATTCCTACTAGTAGAAAGCTGATGTAGACTTCCTCATCATTCTGGAAGGAAAGGGAAGGTTGTGTTTAGGGTGGAGAAGAAATCTATTGGAAAAGAGTTCAAAATATTTAGGAGAAGGACTGCACACCTGGACAAGATGGGGGGGCATGGTTAGTTAACCAGACCCTCTATTTTATAAATGACATAGGAGAGGCTCAAGGATAGCTCTGCAGATACTTCTGTGAGGTGGGATGAGATGATAATGGGCGTGGGCCAACACATTTGAGCAGAAGTGCTTAGCAAGGGAAATACTGTGTCATCTCTAGAGTTGGACTGCTTGGTTTTACCTCCTAGCCTCATCAGTTACTAGCCATGTAATGCTGGACAAAACATTTAACCTCCACTTTAATTTTCCTATCTGTAAAACCCTGTCTCATTGGTTTTATGTAGGGAGTATATGCATATATATGTAAAGCACTCAATAACTCTTAGCTTTGATAATAATGAGTATGTCACAGTGAGAGAATTGAGATTAAATTGACATCCTATTTCTACAACACTAAATTAAAATCTGAATATGATGCCTGCCTTTTCTTCGCTCTGACCTTAGCAAAACCGTCTCCTTTGTGCTGTCCACCAGCCTTCACCTACACCCTCTACTTGCATAACCATGCATAGTCTAGTCTTACTCATCTGGCAAATATAAGAATCAAGTTGAATGTCATCTCAGAAGTCTGTGCTACTATAGAATTCTGTTAATAACTTTAGCATAGCTTTTATTGTATTTATCCACAAAATGTCTCCCTGCCTAAACTGTGACCAAACCCATTGAAAACATGCAGGTATAGTATTAACCTGGCTCAGGGCCAGATTTTAGTACTTGTTTAATAAATGTGTTAAATCAATGAATGAATGTAGAATTGGTCAGAACTTTTTCTCTGACTTGAATATTAGTGGTTGCAAATGAGGTTTCTCTACTATAAATATAAACTCTAGATTTTATTTCTTATTTTAGGGATTGATTTGTTTTTAATTTTTTGCTTTATCGTGATTGCCACAGTCTTGGTCAGCTTTCCCAAGTAGAGGTGTTTCTCCTATGTACTTATGCTTCTGGAACAGGATTAGTTTATGGAAATCATTACATTACTGTCTCAAATAATTTTCAGTCAGGGACTGTTTTGTTTCCAGCACTGTTTTTGGTGATTTGGGTACAAACAATCATAAAGTACAGACTAGAAGGAATCTTAGAGATTATTTGCATTTGAGGAAATTGAGAACCAAAAGAGTTAAGGATTATGTAGTCATAAGTGATAAAGTATAGTTTAAATATGGATTATTATTATTATTAAATATGGATTTTCTAACTCAATGCCACGTTCTAGCCACTAGTCTGCTTTTTTTTTTTCTGTAATAAACACTGCTGCTCTGAAAGCTTTGAATCACATGTATTTACTGACTGATGAAATGCTCATAATCTCTTGTATCATTTAAAAATTTGAGATAGTAATAGAACTACCCAATGTTAATGCATTTAAAATGCTTTGCCCAGGGCCTGGCAGAAAGTAAAGGCTCAGCAAGTTGGCTGTGATTATTATCATACTATCAATTCTTGAGGAAATTTTCTAAAACTGGAATATCTTGGTTTAATTTCTTGTAAACCTATTTTGAATTGGTTTTGAAACCTATTTTGACCGTTCTAAAAGGCTGTAGGAATCTTCAGTCCACTAAGAATACTTTTCAATAGAATTGAAGGGAGAAATAATTCTTGAATAACAGAAAATTCAGTATCCGATTTCCAATAATGCATAGAACATATAGACAGAAGATCAGTAAGGATAAAAAGGTCTTGAACAACACTATAACCAACTAGACCTTCCACTCAGCACAGCAGAACACACATTCTCCTCAAGTGCACATGGTATATTCTCCAGGATAGGCCAGATGTTAGGCTACAAAACTAGTCTCAAAAATGTAATAATATTGAAGTCATACAAAGTGTCTTCTCTAGCCACAAGGGAATGAAGCCAAAAATCAGTAACATAAGGAAAACTGGAATGTTAAAAAATATGTGGAAATAAAACAAGATACCCTTAATCAGTGGATCAAGGAAGAAATCAAGGGAAATTAGAAAAATACCTACAGAGGAATCAAATGAAAACACCACACTGGATGCAGTGCTCAGAGATTTATAGCTGTAAATAACTATATTTAAAAAAGAAGAAGGGTCTCAAATCAGTTACATAATTTTATATCTTATGGAACTAGAAAAATAAGAGCAAAGGAAACTCAAAGCTAGCAGAAGAAAGGAAGATTAGAGCAGAGTTAAATAAAATGAGAATAGAAAAATAATGAGAATGAAACCAAAAGTTGATTTTTTTGAAAGATAAAATTGACAAACCGTTAGCTAAAAGCATACAAATTACTTAAAATGACTCAAGAAAAAAATAAAAATCTAACAGACATATAACAAAAAGATGTAATGAGTAATAAGAAGACTCCTGACAAAGAAAAGTCCAGGGCCAGATGCTTTCACTAGTGAATTAAACCAAACATTTAAAGAAGAATGAATACCAATCTCTCTTAGACTTCTTCAAAGATGACAAGAGTAGGAAGTACTTCTCAACTCATCCTTTAAGGTCAACATTACCCTGATACCAAAGCCATATTAAGAACATTACAAGAAAAGAAAATTACAGACCAGTATTTGTAATGAATATAGATGTATAAATCCCCAGCAAAATCCTGGCAAACCAAGTCCAAAACCATATTAAAAAGATTAAGCACCATGACAGTGGATTATTTCAGGAATATAAGGGTGGTTCAATGTAAAAAAATGATATAATACATGACATTGATAGGACCTGAGAGGGGGGATGATTTTCTTAATTGAAGCACACAAGTCATTTCGCAAAATCCAACGTCCTTTCAAAATGAGAACTCCCAGAAAACTAGAACTAGAAGGAAACATGTTCAACATGATAAAAGATATTTATGAAAAGTCCACAGTTAACATCATACTCAATGTTGAACAAACACTTCTTCCTAACATTAGGAATGAGACAAGGATGCCCATGTTTACCACTGCTATTTAATATTCTACTGGAGTATCTAGCCAGAGGAATTAGACAAGAAAAAGAAATAAAAGATATCCAAACTGGAAAGGAAGAAGTAAAACTATCTCTGTTCACAGAACACATGACCCTTTATATAAAAATATTCAAAAGAATACTACCAGTTTCCAGTCCAGCATATAAGAAGCTTGGAAGCCACTATGTTTGAACAAGTAAAAAGCTGAATAAATAGAAAAATCAACAACTCTTCTTATACCTATAGAAGTGACATCACAGAACAAGCTGCTGCCCCTAAATTTGGAGAGACTAACAGGCAAATACAGAGACTCACAACTTAGCAGAAACCTTTGTAGGAATCAGTGCCAGTGTTTGGAAACCTGAACTACAACTGAGAAATCATTAGAGGCTCATTGTAGACAGGTCTGAGATATAAAATCTCCAGGGAACCCAGTCAGTGGGGGTGCTTTTGTGAGTTTTGCCTCCTGGACCTCTGCCAGGTTCTCACAATGAATATCAGAGCAAAATCCCTTGTGCTAACAATAGGGGAAACCATTTTGAAATATGCCACAGTATCCTGTTCCTCTTAACAAGGTCTGCCTTCAGGAGAAACTCTTCAACCAGAACCGAACTTGCTCAAGTTTTATCAGAGCCCAGGGGCGCCTGGGTGGCTCAGTTGGTTAAGTTTTATCAGAGCCCAGTGGACTTGAGAGAAGGAAGACACCCAATCCCAACCTGCTGTAGTCATCCTGTCCAAACTAAGGGGGAGAGAATAGCCAACAAGGTTGTCTGACTTTTATAGTCCAGAGGCACCAGCTCAATAAAAGACTGATATCTAATCCTAGGACTATAGAACACTTCCCCTCTCCCCACAACTTACTGCCACATTACTAAAAGCCTCTTTACAGCTGTTCCTTTTACCCAGCACATCATGTGCCGCCTATCGACAAAAAATTGTAAGATATACTGAAAGACAGAAAACACAGTTGGAAGGGACAGAGCAAGCATCAGAACCAGACTCAGATATGGCAGAGATGTTGAAATTATGAGACTGGGAGTTTAAAACTATGATTAATTGATGTGCTGAGGACTCTAATGGGAAAGTAGAGAACATGGAAGAATTAAATGAACAATGTAAAGAGAGGTGGAAATTCTAAGAAAGAACCAGAAAGGAAAAGCTGAGAAAAGAATTTCTGAGCTTGAGGATATCTAAATAGAAACTAACAAAACTGAAAGGCAAAAAGGAAAAAGATTGGAAAAAAAAAACCCAGAAGAGAATATTCAAATACTGTGGAGCAACTACAAAAGTTATAACATAGGTCTAATGGGAATACCAGAATGAGAAGAAAGAAAGGGACAGAAGAAATATTTGAAACAATAATGACTGAGAATTTTCCCCAAATTAGTATCAGACACCAAACCACAGATCCAGGAAGGTCAGAGAATACCAAGTACGATAAATGCCAAAAGAACTACACGTAGAGATACCATTTTCAAATTACAGAAAGTCAAAAATAAACAAAAATCCTGAAAGCCAAAGCAAAAAAAATAGGAGGATATAAGACAAGGATTGCACATGACTTCTCAGAAACTCATGCAAACAAGAAGAGAGTAGAGGTGAAATATTTAAAGTGTTGAGAGAAAAGGAGTAGAAGACAAAAATAGGAATAAAGAACAAGGGCAATAAATAGAAGACAGTAGCAAATATGGTAGATATTAATCCAAAAATATCAATAGTCACTTAGAATATCAGTGGTCTAAGTACATCAGTTATAAAACAGAGATTGTGTCAGATTGGATCAAAAAATATCCAACTGT